AAAAAAATTGAAACTAACCCCGCCGCCCTGCCATCTGGTTCTCCATTGATGGGAAGGGGGGGCGGGGGGGTGTATTGCGGAACCTGGCCTTGGGGGCGGCAGGGAGAGCAAATCCGGCCCTGCTCGGGAGGAACGCACATGAAAGACGGCGTCGTGTAATGACACAGAAAACATACAAATCCGCTGAGTTCAGACAAAAATCCCCCCCAAAAAAGGGACCCCGGGCCGATCACGAGGAAAGCAACACATCCTCATAAAGCACGGCTCAATGGGATTTAATGGGAAAACCAATACTTTCTGATCGGGGGTGTAACTACTCATCATGGGGCCCCAGAGCAAAGTTAAGACGTCCCCCCCCTCCCCCCCCCCCTCTCTCTGTAGCAGCTGACAGCGGTCACTGTGGTCAATACCGTCATTGATCCCGATGTCTAATCAAGGCCGGGTGGCAGGAGAGCCGTCAGCATCCTCAGTCCTGACAGAGGTTGTCAGGAGACATCAGCGCAGGAAAAGGACTTATAATTAGAATCAGCTTTATTGGTCGGGTTTGCGGCGGAACACAAGGAACGCGTCTGAATCTCTATATATGGAATTTCCAGAAGTTCTCTCCGCGCTGGAAAAGTTACTTACTGAAGATGCCCGGAGGCCCGACTCCCCCCAATGACACCGTTTCACACAGCCCGGCGAGCCGAGGCCGATCTACCGCAAGGCAAACAAGGCATTTGGCTTGGGCGGCACTTTCCAGGGGGGCGCCTCACCTGCCATTACCGTATCGGTGACAATATTGGGGCGTTTCTGTACCCCTGAAAATGCTCCAATACTAAGTGTCTGTAGCGGTGCTTTACATTATTATACACAAGCGGTTGCCATAAGGTCCTGTGCTTGCTGGGGGCCCCACGGCCATCTGAGAACCCGCATAGCCCACCTGAGAGCCCACACAGCCCACCTGAGAAGCCCTGCACAGCCCACCTGTGACCCTGCACAGCCCACCTGAGAGCCCACGCAGCCCACCTGAGAGTCCACACAGCCCACCTGAGAGTCCACACAGCCCACCTGAGAGCCCACACAGCCCACCTGAGAGCCCACACAGCCCACCTGAGAAGCCCACACAGCCCACCTGAGAAGCCCACACAGCCCAACCGAGAAGCCTGCACAGCCCACCCGAGAGCCCGCACAGCGCACCTGAGACCCCGCACAGCCCGTCTGAGACCCCGCACAGCCCGTCTGAGACCCTGGAGACATCAGACCGCCACCTGTCTGTGAATGTGCACTACCTTCGGACACCCCCACACTCCAGCATTGTGAGGGGGGTCTACATAACTGGCTCTGTAATGCCCTGTGCCAGCATAGCTGAGTAATGACCACACCTCTCATTGGCAGAGCCCTCATGCAGACCCGTGCTGTGGAGAAACACAGCCCTGTAAAGCGCAGCAATCGGGTTACAATAAGACAATCCTTTGTGCCATAACGCCTCATCAGCACTTCCTCCTTTCTGGTTACCCCGGTTTAGGAAGCAACCTAACTGCACTACCGACATCACTAAACCCACGGCCCTCCAGACCCAGGACGTGACCCTTCTGGGGCATGAAAAATGTACAACTCATTCGACTGAAACGTCAATTTCTTTCAGCGGCCGTTCTCCGGCACAGCCCCCGGTAGCGACACATGCGGTCATTCACGGCTACATGCAAATTCGGAAACGAATCCTCCCATGAAATCGACCCATTTTATAGCCAAACATTTCCCGCACCACTCGTCGGCGACCCGCAACTGACCCCCGGCGCCGGATTTACGGTTCTATCGTGTTCTTGGGGAATGTGAGGAAGGAATGAAGAGCTGCAATGTGCTGCGTGCCCTGTACTGTCACCCC